GTGTGTGTGGATACTCCACGCTGCTGTGTTAGGGGTGTGTGTGGATACTCCACGCTGCTGTGTTAGGGGTGTGTGTGGATACTCCACGCTGCTGTTAGGAGTGTGTGTGGATACTTCACGCTGCTTTGTTAGGAGTGTGTGTGTGGATACTTCACGCTGCTTTGTTAGGAGTGTGTGTGTGGATACTTCACGCTGCTTTGTTAGGAGTGTGTGTGTGGATACTCCACGCTGCTGTGTTAGGGGTGTGTGTGGATACTCCACGCTGCTCCACGCTGTGTTAGGGGTGTGAAGAGCTGAGCGATGACCCTGCTCCTCTCCCTGTGTCTTGCAGGACAGCTCATGCCCGCGTCAAGGCAGAGGCCGCGGTGAGTGCTGCCCAGAAGGCCCAGGAGGAGGCTCGCCTGGCCAGGATCACTGCCAAAGAGTTTTCCCCATCCTTCCAGCACCGCGGAAACGGTCAGTCACTCCCAGACAGGGGGCTACACACCCGCGCAGCACCACCACCCCAGTGCAAGATTAAGAAAAATAATCATCTCACATGCCACTTCCATCTCTTTCCAGAATCAGCTGTGCTCCTCTTCTTAGTCATGGTGCGAAACAATATTTTAGAGAGTTGTACAGCTGTGAGTGATGACGAATGTCTCAAGGGACCATGTGATCCGAGGCACAGAAAAGGCAGAGCAACATAATTTTCACATTCAGTCAACTGGAAAGGTCAGGAGCTTACAAGAATCGCCCTGGTCAGATATTTGTTTGCCATGTCACACTAATGATCTAAAATATCACAATGCATTTAGGTCTCCCATTATATTGCTTTCTGTTTTCTTTCTGGCGGATGGCGCACTCGGTGAACCATTGCTGATCATAAAAGATAATCCATAAGGTATGCGGACGTAATATGCAACCAGCACTCCTAACAATCACTCCAATCCAGGCCAAATCACTCACAATTGCAAAGAGGCCAGCTGGCGAGAGGCTGGACCGGAGGAGGGGATTCTTCATTGATAGTAGAAGTTATGCCACACAGGATTGACAAACATGCTACTCCAGAATAGTGCACAGTACGGAACATGACGTTAAGTTTAGATATGTTATAGTAAAGCATTATGTGTTGGCTGCCCACTATAAAACAGGGCCCAGGAAAACGAGCAAATATCAGTGATATCACACAATAAAGCTGTACATTTAAGTCGACTAAATGTATTGCCATGTATCAACACTGCCAGTGCACAAGCTTCTTGACCTGAATATGTTTAAGTGAAATCTCTGCAAATATGTCAGGTGGATATACAGTATAGCATATATTTTCTGAACAGCAGGACTTCCTGACTGTCAGGTTTCCCACAAAGTGGTTCTTTTCATACAAACAGATTTGTGCCGGCTGACGCTTACTGTAGAAGATGTCTTGTCCCAGACACTTTGATTTGTGATTACCACTGACAGCCTATCACAATAGCCTAGATTAATAGGTTTCTGAATAGACAACCGTGAAAGTATGTATAACTGGTGGAAAAGACTTTTGTTTTTGGAACAATGAGCAGCCCTAGTTTTTATTTGACCTTTTACCATTCCGCTCCTGTTAGAAACCAGGATGTGTGTTACCAGGATTTGCCAGCTGTACCCAGGTTCTGCTAGGGTGCTGTCAGATCCCCAGTCCGCACTCACATTGCAGTAAGGCCCTGTGGTGTTGAGCTCACAGTGTCCTGACAAGGGGCTGTGAGGGTGGGTTTGTGACTGCAGTGGTTCACTGGTCGTGATCTCCTCATGCACCACAGGGTCATGGTTATCCGAATGGTAACCTAACTCCATTAACACCTGGAAAGCCCAAAATGAGAGGGCAGAAAAACAGCACAATAATTGACTATTAAAAATCATTTAGCTTGTTTGCTGCCGTGTATAATCAGTATCAATATGGAATATTTTTCTTTTCCCAAATGAAATATGAATTTCTATATAAGCTCATTTCAGTGTTCTCAACTTACAGTTGCATTACAGAGTGTCCAGAGGCCAGTACTGTGGTAACAAAAGGTGTGTAGCAGTGACACCTTCCTGTGAAAGTGTCTCAGGTGGACTGGAGATGTGAAGAGACAGCTTTTGATTGTGTTGGCCCTTTAAACTGAGTAGTTGGAGGTCTTAGGAGAGCTTAGCATTTTTAGCGACACAAACTGCTTAAATGCTGCCCACATTCTCCACCAACACATAGGCATTAGTCAGACACTGTCTTTTAGAATATTATTCACCATGTTGTGTAGTACGAAACAGTGGCACCAGCACAGCAATGGAGTGGGGGAGTGCTGACCTGGACTGAGAATGTTATATCTGAGGATCCCAGATATGGAGATATGGAGAAAAAGCCATTAGTATCAAGAGAAATGACATTTACTACAATTTACCTTAGTTTTGTTTACAACCAAATAACTAGTAGTTGTGTTTCATTAATGCCACACACCAGCAAACTAACAGAACTATTTTATAGTTTCATCCCGTTTAATTTGCACAGCTTAGTTTGTATCGTGACTTAAATGAAGGGTCTTTCACTTGACATGAGGCTTGGCTGAAACCATGAATCCAGCACCATTTTATAATTTCCTAAAGTTAAACAGAAAAGTCAACACTGCCTGTGACATTATTTTACCACAGAAATAGGGATTTTGTATTGCCGTATATGTGGATATTTGTGATACTCTTTTATACTTCCACGGACTTGTACTGTTTTGGTGCTCAATAAGTCTGAATAAAAACCTGAATTCAAGTCAGATCCTTGGATTTAACCACAGGTCAAAGACCAGACAAATGGGTAAATAATAAGTCATGGGTATAAAAAAAAACTCTCTCTTAGTTTTAAGGAGATTGCTGAAAGTTTTGCGTGCCACCACATGAAAATGATAGGTGTGCCTTTTAAACAGCATTTTCAAAATTGTCATCCGCACCATTCACATTCACAGTAGGCTGTTCTCTGCAGCCTGTCTCTAAAAGACCTACAAAGAACGTATGATCAAAAATGCAAATGCATCTTGAGGGACTGGTCTCATGAGGGATAATATTTTCTTTGCCATCCACAAAGCCAAAAATAGCTACCTGCCTGCGCGCCAGCCTTTAAAACCATATTTACCTCCCTTCACCCCAGAAATATTTGATTTTTCAGCGTCTGTGAGGAGGCAAGCTTGTGGTTTGACTGTTTGGAGATCAAGAATGAAAGCCAGAACTGGGCTTCCTCTCCTTCCAGATCACCCTGTTACACTTTATTAACAAGGTGATGCTTTGTCTGAACCACAAGGGAAACAGAGCTAAAGGAAGACGGCAAACTCCAAAGTTAAAAATCAGGTCGTGCGACACTCAGGGAATGGACTCACAGCCTTGGTATGGACAACGGGAAGGGGACACTCACCATTCTTGTAAGATCCATCCATTTTATTACTTCCACAACATTGTTATTTTCTTTGTGGGTTGATGTTGGTCCCTCAGCCTGGACCTGCTGTCTGGATTGTGAACTAAGGAGCCTGGGACACATGGTTGGAGACTGAGACTGAGAGAATCTGGGTCCAGGAGAGAACTGGGGGAGTTATTAGTCCTCTGGGTGTAATTACCACTAGGTGGAGCTGTGATGCTGACATCTGGCTTATGTAATAAATACAGCTGTTGAGTATAAATTCCCCCCCTTAACCTTCTGAAACCATCCAAGAAAGTCCAAGTGCTTCAGCATTTGAAAAGGCTCTCTTAAAACCTTTTATTTTATTTGGTGCTCAGAAAGTGATCAGGTCTTAAAACATAATCTACTGTATTTCTTACAAACTTTATTTTGAAGCATTTATTACTTAAATTAAAATGTTTGTGTTACCTTATTTTTTCAGAAGCCTTTTGCTTGCCCCACAGTGGAAACACTGATGTGCATGAAAGCCAAAATAATGTGAAAATCATAACTGTCACAATTCGGTGTTCAATCATGTATCTGTCATTAAGCAGTCACTTTTAAAATGGGTAACAGCTAAAGGGGTTTGTTGCACCAAGTGCCCTGTGCATCCTACTGTACCTAATCAGCTACAAAGCACAGACTCATTATGAACAGGTGAGCTGTTGTAAAGACATTCAGGCCTCACTACTGCAGTTTAAGAGCAGGACTGAAAACCAGTTTGAATGCTGCAATATCTTACCTTTGGTATCAGTAGCATGAAAAAACACCAAGCAGCCAGGCATTCGGATTTTCTTGTGAAGAGCTGTGATCATGAACGCTGATCTTTCTGAAGAGGACAAAATACAAGCTGGACAAGAATTACCACTCTCTGGCAGCCCCAATCGTGACAGTACGTTTGAGACTGTGGAGGGAAGAGCTGAGAGTTTTGCCATCTGTTTTGTAATTAAGACAAAGGCAGACAGCTATTCATCTCAAGCTTGTTGGAGCTATTCAAGCTTGTGTCTTGCTTGCACTTGAAGAAAAAAGGCACGAAAATGGGTGAAAAAAAATCCAGTTTCCAATCAAACTTTAGCACTAGATCCTTCCCGAAACTGTACGTGGTAATTAATCGGCCTAATATCATTCAAGGAATGGAACAATATCCGCAACAAGGTCCCCAAGAGCCTAATTAAATTCCTGATTTGGCCTACATGCATGAAAGTTTTTTTTCCATAACAGGTTTGCCATTGAAAAGAGGTTTCTCTCACTGATTTCTCAGTCACACAGTCGTGCTGCGTGGGAGAAAGACAATCCCAAAGATGGTAACCGCAGGGAATAGACCAAGCAAGGGATCAATTACCTAATCTGTCTAGTGTGCCAAAATCGTCACTTGACCAATGATCCACACTGCTGAAATGCAGATAATTACCTGTCTCAGCATTTAAATGAAATCTGGGGAATGCCAGTTTGCAATAATTAGGGGAGATGACACAATGCTGGGATTAGTACCTTTAGTACCTGTTTGGTACCGACATACTACAGTATATCTGCTCCTAGTATGAGGAAAGCAAAAATCCAGTCACAGTGGTGTCTCACTTTGTGTGCTGCTGGACTTGTGCTTGCTGAACTTAGATGAGATGCAATACTCCCCTTCTCCTGTGCTCAAATCGGAAACCTCTTCATACAAGCAAAAGAAATTCTGTAGAAATGTGATCCTTGTCTGCTTTAGTTTGCCTTGCAAAGCTCATCCTGCTGCACAGAGCAGCCAGATGTGCACAGGAACAACATTCAGAAACTGCAAGGGTTCTTCAGTATATGACGGCACATGAGAATTGCATAATGTGACCTCAGGATTTGCCAGTTGGCTATGAGAATCGCAATATAGTTAAAAGAGAGCACTTTGTTATTTTGTAGCTTTCTGGTCCTCCAATTACTGGTTTATGAAAAAAGTACAAAAGCTTTGTCATCCCTGCTAGAAAACTCAACAGGGAAATTCTTTAATTAGGATAGGATTTGCATTTCATATCATTGCTATAAATAGTCATCATTATCATTTCAGAATGCTTGTTTTCAAAGATAATATACAATATAGAACCTTCACTGTATCTGTTGCAATCCTGAAATACTAATTTTCTGCAAGCTCCTTGTTGATCACAAAACTAATGATAAACTGTGGGCTGATGTGCGATATATAAAGTTCATCCAAAAATAATTTTGCTGAGGACATATCAGTGACAAATTCAAGCCAACATTTCAACTGCATTCCATTCTGAAAGCCAACAACACGTTGGAATGTGCACAAATATATTAGACACCCTAACATTTTAAAAACAATTTTATATTTGCACAATTAAGAAGTGTACTGTTCCCTAAGGTAGGCTTTGTTTCATGGGTCTGGAACAATTACCCATGGAGTGTCTATCTTGTTAGCCTTGTAAATGATCCCCAAATGGATAATTATATATGACTTGAATTAGTTTAAGGTGAAGATTGAATTTAAGGGAAGAAAAAATGTGCAAAAAGTGTAGTTCTTCCTGACAATGAGCAGTTCACCTGAAGTTTGTCCTGATTTTGAGATAAGCAAATTGCAGCCGTACAGGGTCACCCTTCTGACTTATTGATCGCTCTCTTACTGCTTTAAACCTCTGAAGTCTCCGTGAGACTGCAAGCGAAGGCCAGGACGGGCAGAGGGCAGGTTAGCTGGGACGTGGCCTCAGTCTCATGTTCTCCTCTCCCCCCCCCCTCCAGGAGTGGAGTGCCAAAGGCCAAAGCATCAGAACTCCAGCGAGAACGACATCGAGGTCATCTCCACTGGGACCCCCGACAGCCCCGAGCTGTACATGAAGGGCACCACCCCTCCGGATCTCACGCCCGACCTGAGCCCCGTGCCCAGCCGCCCCTCCACGCCCCCCCCCAGCCCCCACAAGCCCACCCACCGCACCAAGAATGCCCGCTTCCTGCGCCAGTCTGCCGTCGACGACGACCGGGGCACCGGGGAGATCCAGGTGCTGCTGGAAGGGCGGGGCGGGGGCGGGGGCGGAGGGGAGTACCTGCGGCCCAACAGCTGGATTGAGGACAAGCGGCCAGCGGAGGGCGGCGGCGGCAGCCGGGGTGGCAGCCGGGGCAGCAGCCGGTCCAACACGCCCTCCACGCAGGAGGACACAAGGGCTCGCGGCAGCAACGGCCACAAGCACGCCTCCTCGAACCACAAGCCCCGGGAGCGGTGGGCGGACTGCCCCACCACGGTCTCGTGGACTACCCACCGCTCGCTCAGCGAGAGCCTGGCCAACTCGCGCCTCCTGGAGCAGGACGAGGAGAAGCTGAGCAACTACGAGATGGAGATGAAGCCCCTCAAACGGATGGATTCCTATATGCAAGAGACGCACCCCCAAAAACACTACGGCAGCCGCGGCTCGCCCAGCCCTGCCGAGGACTATCACGCGGAGGCCCGTCCGCACGGGCACGGGCTCCAGAGACTGAGGCCTAAGTCCCAGGCCAAGGAGAACTTCCGCCTCGCCTGCACCGCCGAGCCTGCCGTCCAGAAACTGGACAGCCTGGGGATGGGGGAGAAGCTAGACTCCCGGCCCCTGTGGCGAGACTTGACCCTTTCCCCCCCACAGAAATCTCTACCCATTGCACTAGAGCACGACGAGGAGAATTTGACCGAACTCAAATCGAACTCGGTAAGTGAGCGCGTGGGGCAGGAGGGGGGGGGCGGACTGTGAGGAGAAAGGGGGGTCTTGGTGTTCACAGCACTGCAGGGCTCTGGCTCTGGACACAACTCAATTCGGTCAACGCTGACTACAAGCAAAGGTAAAGGTAGTCTCTTATCTCCTGTATCACTCGTTGTTATCTGCATATCAGGCATTATCTCGAATGGAGAGTTGGAGAGGCTTGGGAGCTCAGTTAATAAAAACTGCATCTTTTGGTGTTTGCAGGAATACAACGCTGCACAAATACAACAGACCATAAGTGCCTAAACTATACTCAAGGATAAGAGCCTCCACAATGAGAATCTTCTGCATTGATGAGTACAATTAGCACTCAGTATGTCTTACAGGGGCGTGGCACACAAAGGCCATGTAATTCTCACTTCTCATGTTTCCACGTTTTTAGTTTTTGCCAGTTCATCCTTTTCTGCAGCCCAGATCTATAATCAGCTGTTAAGGGACCTCATGATACAACTACTGCTGTGTGTGCTGGTCGCAGTCTCTCCCACTGGTGATGCCTGGACGGCACGACTCACACAGCCCTCCATTTGAGTGCTTTACAGGCTGGGCTACTCAAGAACCCCTTTCCTGCCTGTATACTAGGTCTAATCAATCTCCAGTTATAAAACAATGCGCTCTTCTGGGATGGAGCAAATGGCTTTGCTCACAATAAATGGGAGGTGGCAAAATAAAAAAAAAACCCTATTAAACCACTGTTACTAAAGTGCTAGTCCAAGGCATGGTGTTGATGGATGGCTCTATCAACAGCAGGTCGATACTGAGGCTCCAGAGGCTGTGCACAGGATGAGAGGCACAGCTGAGCCCATCCTCTGGAATGGCCCCTGGGGATGTGACATCAGAAATGTGCTGGAGATGCAGCACATTGTACATCAGATGAGAACCCCAAGACAGTCTGCCCCTTGTGTCTCCCAGCACAGCTGGGCAGTATCTGGAAAATGGGAGTCCATGGGATCAGTGGACGCAAAAGTGCACACTTTCTGAAACATAGGTGCGTACACAGACATGTGGCTCACTCTGTAGGTACTTAATGTCACAATCTAATGGCTGAATTAAATAAAGGAAACATTTACTAAGGTGTTTTTAAGAAAGCGCTATAGTTAAAGATTTCCATTTTCTTTCAATTCAATATATTTCAGTCAAGAGTATTCAAGTACCTGATTATAAATATGTAGGTGAATGAATTCAGGCTTCTGGAATTGAGCCTTAGAATCAGGCTCTCAAGGGAGGCCAGAAACGACCAAATAATATGATGAAATGAGATCCAGTGTCTGGCGAAGTGATTATCACTGAAACATTCCTCATTGATATACTGTACAGGATACCACTGGCATAGAAGGAGCCCCTCACCTGCTCTTCACATGCTCTGAATGCATTTTTCATCAGGGGAAGGGTATGAAAGACATCTAAACAACATTTTCTCGCCCCAGTTTTCAGATGGACACTGCCATTGTGCTTGTGTGCTTGTAGCACACGTTGTACTGATACAGCAAACCAAACAACTCAAACCAATCATTTGAGCACTTTTTTATTACAGATTTTCCAAAACCACCTTATGCTGGAATTTTAAACAAACAGACACTACTTTTTTTGAGTCTTGGTAGAATTGGTGATCCTTGAATAATAAACTAAACAGAGGCCACTCCTAAAATGGCTCAGTCCATCCAGACTCCCTCTGGGATTTGGAGGCCTGGACTCTGAAGCTGGGCTATACAATTATCAGCCTCGCCATCACCCTGCTCCTGGGCGGCACCTCGAATCTGGAACCGTGCTGCTAGAGCTCAGAGGGTAGTTGGGTTGCTGTGAAACCCAACTACCTACGGTGGGTGTTCACAATGCATCCTTTGTCCCCCCCTGAAGCATGTGCCACCTGTGGGCAGTTTGGTCACAGAGAACGAACGTACAAGAGTACAAGAGATTACAAGTAAGAGGAAGTGACGCATCTTGTTCCTTTTGCTTTAGTTTATAAACCTTGCTCCGTCTAGAAAAAAGGTGGATAGCCCAGCTCTGCACATTTTAGCGGATACATGTGCCATAACTCCATCCCTGCTGTGCTGGGACAAGACGAGGAATGAGTGCATAAAAAACAGAAGGGTGCCCACGATCGACAGCAAAAGCTCACTCAGCACAGTCCATCCTGAATGGATATCTGCAGCGGGGTGTCGGTCTGCCTCTGATGGCAGCCTACCTAGTAAGAGTTAAGTGTTTAGCCTGGAAGTGCAGCGCCTAACAAACCCACTTGCGCCCACACGATCCCGAACACGGCCTACACTCACGAGTGTGCCCACTCGTGCACGCGCTCTTCGGCTCTCCTCAGCGTGAGGACCTTCAGGAAGCCTGTTAGTCCCGAGAGCGTTTGTTACAAGAAGAAGAGACGGGGTTTTGGAGAGTGACGCCACAGAGGGTCTCGCCATTGAGCCAATGAGGCCTTGTTGCAAAAATGCCTAAAGACCTTTGGTTTAAAAGGTCAAGAACTTTCGTAAAAGAACGTGAAAACAGGAACAGTGTCCTTACTCACGTTGGTACTTACAGTCTGCGCATAAGTCTGGCCTGCTGGCATGCTGCAGCTTTAGTCAAATGAGACGAAATCTGTGAGAGGAAGATCAAAAAGAGATAACACTGCACTTCTGCACAAACATCAATACACAGGAGCCGCAGCTGATTCGAATTTGTAGCTTTCTGATCACCTTTCTGAGAAATCTCCCGACTGCACGTCCGAAACAGATTTTTCATCACCAAACAGCACATCGCAGGGTAGGGCGTCACATTCTGTGTCCTCCTGTCTTGAAATGTCTAAAAAACGAACTGTGGTAATAGGTAGTTTTAGAAGAACGTCTGGCAATAGAATGAGTATCCCATATTCATTTGCAGAAAAACAAATTAGGGCCCAATGAGATAATGTAGGTAAAATAAAAAAAGGGATTTGGTTTTGAATTTTTAAAATTAGATGCCAGAAAAAACTTTCTAAAATACCGTAACCGTCAACTACATTTTTGGGCAGAAGAATTCTATTATTTACTATCTATTCAGGACAGCTTATACAGTATGTCTCTGCCTTGATTGGGGTTGCTGTTAAATGGGATCCCCAGACCCCACTGTCTTATAGAAGAAGCCACATTTCTAGCATTATTGTACTGTACTTAGAGAGTATTTTTAAAATAAATTAGATCATTATACATGGTTATAATGTTTTATGAATAAGTAAAATACTCCATATTAGTCTGTCGTTAAGCTTTGGAAAGGTCTTTACATACCCTATATCAAAACACAGTCAATGTATTAAATGCTCCTCTACATTAAGTCCACTTTTGCCGGTAAGCAGTGTGAAGTTTGTAATACGTGATCTTTCAGGCAGCCCTGCAGACAGAGCACAAATATCAGATCACCTTGCTGCTCTTCCTGGGATACCTGGGAACCTATTTTCTAGAAACGTGGTCGGAGATTCTGCGCACCTTTTGTACCCAGACTCTAATTTCTTCATCCTGTCATATCTGACTCCCCACTCCAACAACAAGTTTCATTACTTTCAAAGAACCTTTTTTTAATTCGCATTTTATGATGGCATTTTGCATAAAACAGCTTCCGGGATGGATTCAGGGATAATCATTTCAAATCTAATGCCTGTCCCTTTTCTAATAAAGGAATCTGTGCTCCTAGCGTTATACATAGAGTATAAAATGCAGAAACTTAGATGAATAAAAATAGCCTGTAATGAACTGATTTATACTCTGGCTTCTGCATATGGAATTTTAATGTTATGAACTTCCCTTACTGGTAGTGAGGTAGTAGGTAGTAGGCTCTACAGCCTACCTCCCTACTGTAAGATATTAATTCTCTAATGCAGATTCTATGCATTTCAAATAATAGAATCATTTTATTTCCTCTTGTTTTTTTCATTATAGTAGTAAATTGGTACAAGATAAATACCTACTCATTTTCTTAAAGCAAAGCGGTGGGGCAAAGATATTAGTCCTAGTAGATTCAAATCCAAACACAGATCTTGTGTAATAAAGAGCATTATTTATTTGCTGAATTCTAACTGAGCTGGCTGGGGAGCTTTTACAAAGAGGAAAAAAACATTTTGCAGGAGTAAGAAAATAAACAGGAGAAAAACAGCAGTGCAACCCACCTTGTTCATCTGGTTTCTGATATCAAGCCTGAAAATAAGGGATAAAACATCCTTGTAATAAATGCAGTTTTCCATTACCAAGCCAGAGAGTTCATTCCAGGGGTTTACTTGTCCAACATATCTAAACACGGCTTACTGAGTACTGCTGCAGAAACTATTTTAGAAAAAGACAAACCAGTCCTGTTCTACTACTGCAAAACATCAGCTCCACTCAACACTATCAGAAGTGCTTAAAGAAGTCAGTAGTCATTTCTGGAGTGCAGACAAAACATATGACTGAGGCCCTACTACCTGGGGTTAACAGCCATTGTTAACTACCTGGGGTTAACATTGCTTGATTGTAGCTTTATGATTGAATATGCTTCAAAGATCTCACAGAGTTCAGCTCACTGAATGTGTTCTGACCTGTAGACACATCATCCATTGCACTATGCAATGGGATTCTCAAATAAATGTCGTTCAGTTTGGCAATTCACTTTCACTTTTAGTGCAAATGTTTCTGAAATGGGGCTCCTGAGTCTCATCACAAGTTCTCTAGCACACTTTGTCCTCTACCCAGGCTAAGCCCTAGAGTTCAGCTACGATACATTACTACAGACCAGGACTCTGTTTCTTGCCAACTGTGACAGGAATTTACAAGGATTTCTTAGCATGGGTTTCCTCTGTTTGTCCAGGAACAGCCACCACAGGGACTCATGAAATTCAATCCAGATTCCAGCAATCAGGCCTGGGCTCTCCTGCAAAGCACCATGGAGATCACAGTGGGAATAAAACAGCAAATGCCTCTGATATGTGTCCTACTTCTCCCTGATGAGGAATGGGACGGAGAGATCTGAATTATTGAAAACGGAAGCTAAGGTTTTCTTGAAAAAACACTTTGGTAATGATGTCTGGTCAAATACAGTACATGCTGCTCTTCCAAATTAGCTCCACAAAAACGTATCTGAAACAGAAGAAAGGGGTTTCGTTTTGACATTTCCATCAGTGCTGGAAAAATGAAAAGCTGCTGATCCCTCCTGGACACAATGTGATTTTGCGGCATGAACGATGCCCCTGGGGGACTCATTTTCTGAACATTCTTCTCAGGACAAGTCTGTGGAGGTCAGGTCACAGGAGCTGAGCTTAATACCCCATACAAAACCAAGGGGTTCTGAGAGGTGAAAAGCAGCAATATTTCTTTTTAAAGAGTTCTCATTAAAAGGAAGTGAGCACTATTAAAAGCACTAGAAAAACAAGCTCCCCAGATACCCATGCTTCATCCCATTACAAGAGAATTAGGTCTTGAGAACAGCTCCTTAGTGGGGATCCAGCTGGGCTCATCACCTCCATAAACAAGGGAAGGAGGTTGTACAATATGAGTCTGACAGTAAGCAGTCACTCATCCAGGGGTCTCTCTGTCTGTCACCTCCAACATACTCATTACATACAAAGATAAGCAACATGTTTGTAGGCAACACATCAAAACAGGGGCTGTAGAGGCATTCTCCCTCAGTCCGCACCGCACATCACTATGATTCCAGCTCCACTGTTAGTGGACAATTAGTCATTGTGTTCAATCGATAACAATTTGGTTTCTTGCCCTGAACCTCACTGGGTCTGGCTCACCTGTTTGCACCAGCTGTGTGGAATAAAAACACTCCTGACGCATGGTTAGACAGATTCCCTTGCGCTGGGTCCTTGGTAGTTGCGTGTTACAAGGTGTGGCTGGAGAAAGGGGCCCAGAGCCCGTGGGGTGCGAGGGAGGCCAGCAGCAGGAGGATGATGGGAAGGCAGGCAGCAGGGAACTGTGGGACAGCCCGACAGAGTGGTCCTCCTGGGTGAGAAACATCCCTTCATCAAACAGCAAGGGAACCGTCTTTTCGCGTTTCTCCCCAGCAATCAAGAGGCAAACCGTGATAACTTAACAGGAGCAAACAGATTTCCTGTCAGAAGGAGCTCAGCTGTGAAAAGACTTTCACAACTTCTTGGGCTTGAAGAGTAATTTAACTAGCATCTTTCTCTGTCCAGCTGTTCTGCAATTTCCATGCAGCCCGACCCAATGACTGCTACTGTCCAGCTAGTGCAGTATCCACGCAGCATGTTCAAACAGCATTTACTGTCCAGTTACTGCAGCATCCATAAATAAACCTAGGTGATTATGAACCATATGAACAATTTCAGAAATAACTAGAATGTTTATTTGAATGTTGTTATTGTTATTATTATTATTATTATTATTATTATTATTATAATTATAATGTTGATATAAACTGAAGAAAACGACCCACAGTATGTTTTGTTTAACAATTACACAGTGTTTAAATACCAAGGCCATAGCAGAAGCTATTATCTCCCACCCCCAGCATCTTCACCGCTCCTGAGTTGAGCCGTTGTAGCTCTTGCACAGCCTCTAATGAGAGCGCCTTAGTAACAGGCCACGCTCGCCAGATTAGCCGAGCCGCTCGCTCGCAATCCTGTCCTGGCATTGGCTAGCGCTGCTCTGTTGCTAGGGAACAGTTTATGCCTCTCCAGCAGAAGCTGTCTGCCGAGGCAAGAGCGCCCCGTGTGAACGGAACTATCGGAGGCTCAGGCTGCGAATGCAGCAGTGCGGGAGGGTTAAAGCACAGATCCCCGCGTTAGACGAAGTTTGGGCAGGTCTCACCACTTATCGAATATCCTGCGCATGTCAGGTGCTTGGCAGTGGTCCAGTTGCGAAGATGTACCGTGTTTTGAACTTCTTATCTCATGAATAAATTTTGGTAATAGAAGCAGCAATATGCATAAAATCAGATCTGAAATATATACGCCCTTTATTCTCGATGGCTGTGATTTGTTAGGTGGGGTTTATCACATTTCCATGGAACACAATACATTAGAGCTGGGAATTGTTCATTTTCAGCAACAATGCATACAGACATGCCTCCATGTCCTTAACTGAACTGTTAAGCGATGCAGTCTGAGGTACAGCATAGAAATGAAATGCAGAGACTTGTTTTCCTGTATTTAAAAGCAGGCCGCCTGCTGTGTGTCTCAACCCTCATCTTGATTGACTGGGGCTTTTAAAATATTCTCCTCGTCCTGAAGTTTAAATATACATTTGTTCCATATATGTCCCTTTCTTAAACATTTTAAAAGGATTCCAAACACCCCACTGGCTACGTACTGGACATACTGTATATTGCCAACATACAGTGTGACAAAACACCACTCATGGAGGTAGCTTCCAGCCCCTGTGTCAGCAGTCTCTCTAGTGAAATACTGTTTTTTTTCGGTATTGTTGTGAAGGTCCCAAATCATAAATTTTCCTTAAATCTTACATTTAGGGCATTGTTGGGCTGCAATGGACTTTGTTGGGTTTTCTTTTGTTACTTTTACCCCATGAGTCCAGCTGAGATATTCTAAAGATATAGTGAGATATACTGTGCTACCAAAAGCCTTGCCTGTGAAATAGAAACTAAAACAACACACAAGGGGAATGTCTGAAAACAATTCTGTGCTCCCACACACACATGTTGCAAAACAATTAGGGTCCAGTTCAGGCACACACTGGCCTGATACCTGTGCAATGCTGTACAGTACAAGGAAGCTGATTTGACAAATGGCTTAAAAACATGATTTCTGCCACCACACAAGGACAGGCAGTTGTGCATGGACTGCTGTAAAACTCAGATTCCATTAGTTTCCATCCCAGGTATGCAGTGGCCAATGTTATGTGTGACAGAAGGCCACCTAGTGTTAACCAGGGGTGTGCAGGCCCTCTCTAGTTCTGCGCAGCTCTCTGTAAAGAGGCAGGTAGGTATAAAGGGCCTACATCAAGAGGCACTGTTTACACAGCCTGACAACCCCCACACTGAGACTGTGTGGGAGGGCGAGTGGGAGGAAGGCAGGATTCCCAATTAATGCTGCTCTCTTCCTTTCTCTCTTCTTTTTGCAGGGCTCAAGCTCTATCCTGGTTGTTATGGTGATCTTGCTGAACATTGGAGTCGCCATTTTGTTTATTCACTTTTTTATTTAATGTAATGCCTATAAATTATGATTATTCTTATCTATATTATTAACGGCCCCTGTTTTGACAAAAAAGTGAAAATTCAAATAAAAAAAAAGTGACAGAAGGAGACGAACTAGCAAACTCCAACTCAACAGAACCTGGGAATGAGATCTGATTTCTACTCTGTTTCCTTTTTTTCCTTCGCTCCTCGCCCAGTTCTCAACGTGATAAGCCGTTTAACAGTTGTTTTTCCAATTCCTGTTTTTTAGCCTTTTTATTTTGTTGGTTTGTTTGTTTCTGGCTTTAGTTTTTTTTTTTGTTCCTGAAAGTAACAACGGGAAAAAAAAAACCTGGCTTGTACAACAGTATAGCGTTCTGTGGGCATGGCAACGCAACGAAACTCCATCCCTCTTCCACGTGCTGCGACCCAGAGCAGGAGCGTCGTGGGCCACATCCAGAGAGAGGACAGTACAGTGAGGAGCTGGTCTCTGTCCCCTCAGTGTGAGCTTGGAAGAAGCAGCAAGCACCCCCTTCTTTCAGGAGCCACTCCTATAGGTTTTTCTGTCATGGCAGTCATGTTTTGAGTCAGATACCAAACAAACCAGGGCTAAACGCAATGTATGCAATTAGATGACAGAACCAGGGTTACCCTTCTGCCATGAAAGGGCTTAATGATGATCTGCTGTGACGTGTGGATTGTGAAGCGTTTTCTCAACATAACTTCCGATTCAGGTTCTAGCTAGATATTTTTAATTTGGGGGTGGGGGGGGCACGATGGAGAAGAATTTTCTGACATTAAAATGAGCCACTTCAGACCAATGTCATGTCATTGACCTGCCTTATTGTGCTTTCTATTGACAGGAAACAGTGCTGCATGTTCCTATGCTTTGAACACAATATGCAGGAGGGCTAGTTTCCACTCTCCTTTCGGTCATCTGTTAAGGAAACAAGAAAAGACACCTTTCTTCACCTCACAATGAGAAAACGGCTCACTAACTCCACATCACAAAACGAGGGAAAGCAAAGTCACAGTGGACGAGACACACCACAAATCAGAGAAACAGAAGTGGAAAGTAGGAGCTGACACAAACCGAAAATCACACTTCCCAGAGGAGAGACTGTTAACATTTTAAACAACTGCTTTCAAATTCACAGATTTAAAAGAAAAGTTCATTTTTAGCTTTTTGCAAGACGTCTGAAAAGCCATTTGCCTTGTTTTTTTTAAAAAGTAACAAAAGTAACAAAATATATTGCATGCTCACGTATGTTTTAGTTTTGTATAAAGACAAAAAATATATATCTAAAAAAAAAAATAACTCTTCTAGTTTTGAAAGCAGTTCAGGTTGCAAAGCTGTTTAAGTTCATCCCAAAAGGTTAACCTTTAGATTCGGGCTTAGTCTAGGTGCTGTTATTGGTCATCAGCTACAAGGATTTCTCCCTTTCTGAGGTATTCACACAGCCTGTCTCTTCCACACAAACTGTTACTCCCTTGAACGCAAATGAACTTGTCTCTGCTTTCCATTAACTCCCAATTTTTATTTGTCAATTTTTAAACTGGCTTATGAACAAGACTGTCAATGACACTTTTATAGCATGTGTGTAAGGATCTTTTTCATAGCTGACCTAGCCTGTCTGCCTATGCTCTGTACCTAAGCTGTCTCTACTCTGTTTCTCTATCGAAAGAACCACAGCCTGGTAAGCACACAAGGAGACGTGCTGTGCTGTGACAGTGTCACGGAAATGCTGGACGAGTTCCTTTTCATGAGCACAGGCTCACCAGGCGAGAGTTTCTTTGAGTCATTTTGAAGACTGTAGGGCTTGAGTGCTCAAAATTATGAATGAATCTACCTATTTGCTATTTGGCTTACATCTCCCCTGTGTTCCAATGGCATGCCAGTGCATGCAGGTTTTGTTTTGTCGTTTTTTGCCAATCAAACCTGATTTATGTGTAAAAAAAAATTTAATCTGAACTTCTGTTATATGGACATTCCAGCTTTGCCTTTTAAAAGCAACCAATCTGGTGTAGAAAATGGCCTGGAGGGCAATATGTTTGCTTGACTTTTCATTTTTTTAGATCCATTCACTTTAAGAAATGTCAGAAATCTTTCTTTCTCTCTTTATCTTTTTTTAATCAATAAATCTGTGAACCATTTCACTTTCCATGTTTATTGCCTAGAATTTTCCTGTGGTTGCACACAGATTGTGAACACGGGGAGATTGAATACTCCTGACTGTCTGTTTGGAGGGTTTTCTCCAGCTCATTTGGGGGGGGTGAGGGGGGTGGTGTTGTATGCAGTGGAGAAGGCACGTTTCTCATCTCGAACTGCTTTTCCAGCATGGAGGACAGGTGCTTCAGTCTGTGCACAGGAGGGGGGAGAGACTGCATCTTAGCCTTGCCAGTCAGGGCAGGCTGCTGCCATGACAACGCAGTTCAGGATTCTGTGCTACCATGCAGGGGGCGGGGCCAGACGGTGGGCTGCCCCCCACCCCCACCCCCAGGAACTGTGATGCTCAATGAGCACGTTCAGAGGAAGGGAACCAGCCTGGCTCTCCTGAGCCCCACAGCCCAGAGCGGTGCTTTTTCACTCAGGCAGCTAAAGGCATGACTTGACATCAGCGAGGCTCTGAAAGGTTCCTTTTAGGCCACTTAAAATACTACACAATCCCCACCCCCAAAAAATAAACACCTGCACACAGTTGGAGATTTCAGTCTTCACTGAGGCTAAACCCTTGTCCAGTCGTATTTCCTTTGAAAAGAAATGAGTTAAAAAAAAATCTAAAAAAATCCAAGAATGCCTTCTACCTGCGCATTCATAAAAGCAAGCAAAACAGATATCACACTGGGAGGGGCATTTTAAGCAGGCTTCCCTGGTATAAATCAGAACATTGAGGCAGTTCATTTCTCCCCTACTGATAGCCAGAGTGAGTCACAGCACGGGCACAGTTGTGTGAACTGTGTCATCACGTCGAAGGTGTGAATCAGACATTTTAGTCTAAAATAAGCAGCAGCAGTCTAGAGCACTAGAACAACCCGATTCAGTTTGGGGACTTTTTTTTATTTCCTCTCTGCGAACTGTAAATCCTTGTTTTTGAACCCAACAGCCTCCTAATGAACCTCGAGTTTTGGAGAAGAGACTCCGGGGGTCTGTGGGGCTGGAAGTCTTGATGAACACAGAAGCAGTGGCCGGCAGTCCCCTGAGTCAATCCTGCATTACAGTACAGTAGCAAAGGACACGTCCACTAGCGCATTCACACTGTCCACAGTTTTATTTCAGGGCACAACATATTCTCCCAAGTTCAAAGCGTACTCACTGCTGTTGACTCTCCCTCTGGGCCTCGTGCTTCACTGTAGGACTCCATGTTCTGACCTGGTTTCTTGCCAGATCACCACAACCACGCAGTCTCACTACACTTGTCCAGTGCTCTAGAGCTCTTTCAGTCCAGCAACAATGTATTCGGACCTCAACCCACTTAGAACAAAAGCCCCCTTGAGAGACAATCCTTTTCTTCCCACCATTTGAGTGTACTCAGTCCAGGTCTAACACAGTAAGACAGTGGCTCTATTCTAATGAGGTTATAACTGAAAGAGAATTCTGATTCAGTACAGATTGCCTTGCCTATATATATCACATTAGTTTACACACCTGCTGTACCAATACATATAATGACGACCCCAAAGCATTTTATTAATGCATCTTTGAATAAATAAAAATGGGAAAATTCCACTGTTTTCATGTTTCCATGGGCCCGACAGAACAGAATAGGCAGATTAAATAGTATGACGTGTCTTCTGTCATCAGCTCTGGTGAGGCGATAGACAAGACACAACCAGCAAAAATGCCAAATGTTAGCTGCAGTTGATGTACAGATGGGCAAAGCGAGACTACAACAGGATCAAACTGAAAGCCACTCAGGCCTATAGGACTTTATAAGAAACGACGCCCACCACAATTTGAGTAAAGAAGTGCCTCCTGTTCCCTGTTTTAAATTCACTACTTCATAGCTTACACTTCTTTCCCTGATTCATGTTTCACTTTTGGGTCTGAAGAAAACAATTGGACTCACTATGTCAGTGCTTTTGAGGATTCATCTCCTGATACTGTCACTTTCTACACATCCAGAATATCCATGTGTCTGTGTAATGGGTCAGGCTTTCCTCTGCTTCCTGTGTAAAGTTGTATAGCCAAGTTACATGCTCATGGGAAACTACAACATCTGTGATCTAATCCTCTGTACTAGAGCCTAGGTCTCAATTTTGTCAGCCTCGAGGAAGCCTAGCTCATGCATGTCCACCACTCTGTTCACAGCATGGTTCCACTAACAGAAACCTACTGCCGACAAGCTCTGCAGGCTGCGTGGAACTCAGACAGCAGCTCTGAAAGTTAACCAAACTCACCTGACCAGTAGTCAGGTGGTTTTTACCGAGTTTACAAAGCTGGGTGAGACCACCTGATTATTTGCTTTTCTCTTTGAGAAAAGTCCTAGAAATAAGTAAGACGTGCTCAAAACTGGCCTGACCTAGCAGGCTGGGAAAGAAAATAGACTACTGACCACCAATTCATCCTCGGAAATCTAATTTAGATTGGCATATGCGCAACACACACCTTGACCACGCCGTATACAATAAGGGAAAAGAGAGCACCCAGCTCTGCTCTGAGTGAGACTGGGATGAAGAGAAAAATGAGAAAAAGTGGTATCATTTGTGTAGGATGTAAGTATACATTGGCTTCCTGTATCTGAAAGGTATTTGTCAGTTTGTTAAAACATCTCATCAAGCAGCATTTAAGATACTCTAATGCATTTTTTAAATTAATAGACAGCATACCTTTTGTAGTAATTTTTGTTATTCAGTTGTGATTTTGTCATCAGAATCTCCTCCAAATATCCATTAATATGTCGCACACTTTTCCTTTTGTTTCGGAGATTTTGTTTTCTATATTGAACACCAGGGACTAGGAGGCCTCCTGTGAAAGTGTGGTGTGTAACTGTGTGCGTCAGCTCCCATCAATAAAGCCTTTACCGTGTACAGGAAAAAGCGATCAGATTCCTGCTGGAATAAAGGCCACAGCAACCTAGACCTGTTGCTGGGAAAGTGGGAGCTGTTCAATAGCTGGAAATTATCTGTCAGCTGAAGCCACTGCAGGCCCAAAGGCTCCCATGTGACAGAGCAGACCCACAAGGGCAGAGGAGGGCTCAGTATTGAGGCGAACTTTGCATTCACACAGGTGGGGCTGACCAGCTGTTACGTCCATTATCGACAAACACAGCCAGCTGTCTCTGTCTTCTTTTTTCATTTTACACAATCCCGTCTCACAGCGCACCACCTCCTGGTGAGTCATTTTCCCAAAAGGGTACAGAAACAGCACAGCAGAGAAGCTAAAAGTAACAGAGAATTCAGGGTGGAATAAGCTTTCAAAGTAACCCGAACCAGTAAATCTAGTGAAAGGAACCACGCGGAATACTGGAAGCTGTCCTTAATAGTTTACATCCCATTTTGAGGGTTGTGCTTTGGTTTAATAGGGAGTTTATGGACCTTATATTTTATGATAAATCACTTCACGTGCACAGACCATGCCTGGAAGTGCTTGGTTACAGTACATTTACAAGGTAGGGTTCACTTCTGTCTTAAATGTAAATACAGTGAATCAGTAAGTGATGTGTGTTCTCTTGCAAATAACCTGCAAAAAAAGGAAATCAGGACACTGTGTGCCAAACAAGGCAACAAATAATTCTGAGACCATTTTTTATGTGACCATTATAGGGTCACACTCTGAACATTTTTTTTTGCACGTGTTGAATCTCTGAGGATTACGGCATTAGAAACCCACAGCCCAGACTCTCAAAACACCTTTCCCAGTCCTTTTAATTAGTGCACTGCTACGATTTGACCACGATGGCTGAAAATGGCACTATCTCTTTTAAGTGTGTCTTGCAGAAGAGAAGGACACACGAGGAGCTTTATGAAATAATAAGGAATCACAAGCAGGGAGAGGCAGTCTAGCACCAGGCTGGCTGTGGACAAGCCTAAAGGTCACCAAATGTATTTTGTTTTGGTTTTGATCACATCTAATTTTATTCATGATATGATATTGTAGGTTGCCCTTATGAAGGAGTCATAAATAAGTGATGCCTTCTAAGTCTACAAATGTCTCCTAGCTGCATTTTACCCAATTGTACTGTAGTTCTGAGACAGGAGGATGTGCGTCTTTAAAAACCACAAGTACTACCCAGATATCTGTAAATACTGAACAATAGTAGAGTATGGAAATAGACCTATTATGACTATTTAAATATTTATGACTAAATATTTATTATGACTATTTAAATATTTCAACTGTTCTGTAACCTTTTTAGCTTCAATACAAGAAGAGACTGTCTTGAACCACACATCTGGACTGAGTGAGACAGTTCCTCGGACCTGGAAACACATTTACAAGCCAGGACTGGAGTGAAATGTCAAGAACTGATCTGTCCTGTTCTGCTCACCTTGTCTACCTGAATATCAACTGGGCCCAGAAGTATCCATCAAGGTTATCAATAATGGAAACAAACATCTCTACAAATTGCCCACAGTCCCTCTGGAGGTCTGTACAAAGTGAAGGCTTATTCCAAAGCTTGTTTATTTAAGTCAAGGTCTGGTCTTCCTAAATAAGAAAACTCATAAAGTTCATATTAACTAGACTGGAACTACAAAACGCTTCCTTAAAAACATCACAAGAGTTTTGTTTGTATAAATTATAAGAAGCCTTAGGACTTTGTAGAAAGAGACAGTCAAAACTATATTTGATATGAGTATCCTTTGTAACCAAACTTCCACACTCTGAAGACATTCTGAAAACCCAAGAGAGAACATCACTCACCACAGGAACAGATCTACATCCTTTTCTTGTTGCAGTCTTAAAGGTCATCCTTAACATTCACTGGAAACCTATCCATTCTCTAACCTTTTCATCCAGTTCAGATCACAGGGGAGCGAGATACAACCTGGACAGGATGTCTGTGCATCGCAGGACACACACAGACACCAACACAACCATGTGCACACTCACACCAGTGTCGACCTACCAGCATGTCTTTTTTTACTGTGGGAGAAAACTGGAACACCAAAAGAAAACCTGCACGAACATCGGGAGGACATACAAACTCCAAGCTGATCCGGAACTGAA